AACCACGCAACGCCTTTGCCGATGTCGTGGAGGGAGCGTGAATCATCATCGGGCGAGCTCCCGCTCATCCTCGTCGTGAGCGCGAGCTCACTCGAACTCTGCCCACGCTGAGCCCTAAAAACACGGCGACAGTGACGCGTGGTACACGCAGTTGGACTTTGGATTTTTTTCTCTCTCTCTCTTCTTTGTTGGTGATCCCAGACCTGTCAGAACCCCTTATCAGTGCCCTACCTTATCACAGACCAGTTTAGACATTATTCGTCACCCCGGTGTGCTTATAAATCTCAACGTTCATCCTGCAAGGTCCCATCACAAGGCAGAAACACAAATAGACACTCACCACTACGAACACTCACCACTACTACACTCACAACTACACACCTGTCAACCCCTTATCAGTGCCCTACCTTAGTACAGACCAATTCAGACATTATTGGTCACCCCGTGCCCCTTCTAAATCTCAACGTTCATCCTACAAAGTCCCCATCACAAGGCAGAAACACAAATAGACACTCACCACTACGACACTCACCACTACTACACTCACAACTACACACCTGTCAACCCCTTATCAGTGCCCTACCTTAGTACAGACCAATTCAGACCTTATTGGTCACCCCGTACCCCTTATAAATCTCAACGTTCATCCTACAAGGTCCCATCACAAGGGAGAAACACAAACAAATAGTCAAAACATGTTGTTTGTTGCCCGTATTGAAACGGCTGTACGCCGTGTGGACCTGAAAACTCAATTCCCCTGTACTGCAACACGGGGTAAACCGTGTGGCTTGACGGCTGTGTGATCCACCTGCCACAGGAGGCTTGGTGTTCACGCAGCAAATGCGTCGTGGGAGCTTTTGAAACTCGCAGCATCGACTTGGAAAACGGCCGGTCTCGTGTGGGGGAGCTCGGGTGGGGGGGAGGGGCTCGCGTGGGGGGGCTCGGGTGGGGGGGGGCATCGGGTGGGCGGAGGGAGGCCTCGGATGGGGGGGGGTCGCAGGTGGGGGGAGCCTCGGGTGGGTGGGGGGAGGCCTCGCGGGGGGGAGCCTCGGGTGGGGGGGGGCTCCTCGGGTGGGCGGGGGGAGGGCTTGGGTGGTGGGGGGGGGCTCGGGTGGGCGGGGGGAGGCCTTAGGTGGGGGGGGCTCGGGTGGGGGGGGGCTCGCGGGGGTGGGGGGGGCTTCGGGTGACGAGTATCATGGGGCATTTTTGTTGCCAGTATCAAAGAATGAAAAATCGGCATAGGTTGTATTAACCTTTCTGGCGATAGAACCTTTGTGTTAAGATGTTCACACACCAAATGGAAACCTTGTGGTGGTGAACACGAAAACCTAAAATATGCTCTGATAAGTAGAAACGATGCATTGTCTTGGAAACTGATTGAGACAAGCAGACATCTCTATGGCCTGGTCTCACGAAATGTTACATTTAAAATCACAGTTCCTATGATTACTGTTGTTGCATTGTTTTTATAGCTTTATTTTGGTGATTCGAAAACATACGGTTAATCTAAATTGTCTTATGGTTGTTGTTGGCTTGCACCGCATTGTGATTTTTTGCACACAGCGTTTTAACACGTTTTTTTGTGTGTATGGAATATTTGCTGGCTTGTTCCAGGATGTTTCTGTTACGCGTTGTCGCTTCAAGATGTTCTGTGTTCAAATTTTGTTTGTTTGCGGTTGCACCCGCCTTAAGGGCCGCATGGCTCACAGGGCTATACCTAATAAATGAAAACTTGAAAATGTGAGAGCAGAGAAACAACGGCAAAAGGTCAAAAAGTCTGGGGAGTTTCTGCCCTCTGATGGACAGAGCATTTGTGCACCATACAACAACAACAAAAACAACACGAATTTGTAAAACTAAAACTACTATTCTTACTTGGTTACTTAGGGGGCGTCCATAAATGACGTCACGCACCTAGGGGAGGGGGGAGGGGTCAGACATTTGTGACGATGTGTGACGAGGAGGGTGGGTGGGGGGGTGAGAAATGTGACGTCACATCAAAATGCGCCAACTTTGAAGAAATATAGACAATACGTTCTGCTTAATTAAATAGACTTTTTGATAAATGTTTTCTCCTACAACATCAGAGTGCAGCGCCACATTAAATACACACTACAATGTCAATAGTTTAAAGCGATTTGAAGCATGTTTTATATATTTTTTTGGGGGGGGGGGGGGGGACAGAGCTTTGTGACGTCATATTTGAGGGGGGGGGGGTCTGACTTTTTGTGACGTCGTGTGACGAAGGGGTAGGGGGGAGGGTCAAAAATCGTCCAAAATCGCGTGAAGTCATTTATGGACGGCCCCTTACACACAAATAATGTCCCCATGATAAATGTGCTAGCCGTTTAAGAAGAGCCCAAGTTTGCGATTCCTCGATCAATCGAGTCACTGAATGTCGAAGCCAGTCCAGAGTTTGGTGTGTTGCTATTATTGTTACTTATATTGAACAAATGCTGCTGGCCGCGAAAGGGAGGGTTGTGTGAACAAAAAATGAAAAAAACAAACGCGGATGTATTTTTCAATGCGGAGATGCAAATATGGGAAGGCGTTCGTTTTGTGTGTCTGCTTCGTTATTTAGACTAACCCAATCCCGCGTGGATATTCGTCTAAACTTGGGTCGGGGAACCTTTTTTTCTGCCAAGGGCCATATATAACATCATTCGCGGGGCCATACAAAATGATCAACTTAAAAATTAGCCCGTTTATATTTGGTCAAAACATTTAATTAACTCGCCCCCTAATGCGATGGGCTGGAACTGCTTTCTCTTTGGGCGAGGCGTGGTGATGATGTTAGCCGGCTATTGACGATGTTGCTGCTACTCGCAACTGCTTGTCCAGGTTTTGCTCTCCTAGATTTATTGAATTTCGAGTCCCCCCTGCGGTTGCCTTGGCAGGGCCAGAGACCCAAATAATTTCGTGGTGCCTTATACGGCCCACGGGCCAGTAACCTGTCAACCCACATTTAGTTATCTTTTTATTTTAGTTTTCATGTCCGTACGGCGTACAGCCGTTTCAATGCGGGCAAAAATCGTGTTTTTGTCTTATTTGTTTGTGTTTCTCTCCTTGCGATGGGACTTTGTAGGATGAACGTTGAGATTTATAAGGGGCACGGGGTGACCAATAAGGTCTGAACTGGTCTGTAATAAGGTAAGGGGCAATGATAAGGGGTTCTGACAGGTATGTGAGTGTGTGCATCCACATATCAAGCAAGCATCAGCATGCAAGATCACAGACAGTATAGCATGATAAGTAGCATAATTTATATACATGATTAAAACTACACTTAAGTTACGCATTGGTTTTTTCGGTAAAGTCACGTATGTAGGAATACCATAAAATAATACTTAAATAAATCAATCACGACGTTTCGACCGCAACACAAGCGATCTTCATCAGGTGTAAAAAATAAATCACGGAGGTAAATACAACAAGAAGATGAGAGACGAGAATTCAACAAACCTAAGAAAAAAATATGTGATGCACAACCAGTCAGGTCCACAACACAGTTAGACACTCTTCTGAAATTCGTGGTTCGCCAGGTAAGTGTCTAACTGTGTTGTTGACCTCACTGGTTGTGCATCACATAAATTTTTCTTAGATTTGTTGAATTCTCGTCTCTCATCTTCTTGTTGTATTTACCTTCGTGATTTGTTTTTTTTTACACCTGGCGAAGATCGCTTGTGTTGCGGTAGAAACGTCGTGATTGATTTTTTTAAATAAAATTTTATGGTATTCCTACATACGTGACTTTACCGAAAAAAACAATGAGTAATTTATGCAGTCACGAAAGCTCTAATTCTTTATTGCATTCAAGTTTTTTTGGTACTGTTTCATTGTTGTAACTTTCTGACCCTGTGCCCACTCACTGGACATTTGTTGACCAAAAGAGCTTTATAGCTTATCGGATTCCTCTCTCCTGATGAAGCTGGTTGTGATCACTGGCGAAACGTCGTATTCAGATTGCAAATGTTGTGGCTTGGCTCTCCAACGCACCGGTGTGCTGTACTAGTACACTAAACACTATATACTACACTATACACTACACTATTACACTATACACTACTATACACTACACTATACACTACACTATACACTACACTACTGTACACTACACTATACACTGCTATACACTACACTACTATACACTACACTACTATACACTATACACTACACTATACACTACACTACTGTACACTACACTATAACTACACTATACACTACACTGTTACACTATACACTACTGTACACTACACTACTGTACACTATACACTACTATACGCTACACTATACACTACACTACGCGACTATACACTACACTACTATACACTACACTATACACTACTATACACTACACTATACACTACACGACTATACACTACACTACTATACACTACTATACACTACACTATACACTACTATACACTATACACTACTATACACTACACTACTATACACTACACTATACACTACACTATACACTACACTATACACTACACTATACACTCCACTACTATACACTACACTATACACTACACTACTATACACTACAGTATACACTAGTGCTGTACTAGTGACGAATTGTCCACGTTCTGTTTACGTGACACAACCCTTACTATTTGGCTGTGTCGGGTGGTGGCGGGTTTAACGACACATTCATATATTTACGCGATCTAACCCCCCAACACCCCCCACCTGTATCATGGATGATATTGGTAAAGGAAGCCTGCTGCTACGTGTTAAAAAAAATACTAAATAAATGTATCTTGCAAACAACAACAAAAAACCTCCAGATCTAGAGGTTAAAAAAACCCTTCAAAACCTGGCAACGCTACCCGAGCCACGTGGGACAGCGGCCACACCCCCCTCACCGCCAATGCAGAGTGGGAAATGCGAAGGGCGAGACGCAAGTCTTTAAATACAGTAATGTGAGTTGGGGGGGTGTGTGTACAGTAATGTGAGTTGGGGGGGTGTGTGTACAGTAATGTGAGTTGGGGGGGGGGGGGGTGCAGGGGTAAGTCGGTCACTAGGGGTGAAGTATAGCCGTGCGGGACACTAGGGGTGAAGTATAGCCGTGCGGGACACACACAACGTGGGTTTAGTCGTAGAGTAGGGGGGGTAAGTCGGTCACTAGGGGTGAAGTATAGCCGTGCGGGACACACACAACGTGGGTTTAGTCATAGAGTGTGGGGGGTAATTCGGTCACTAGGGGTGAAGTATAGCCGTGCGGGACACACACAACGTGGGTTTAGTCATAGAGTGTGGGGGGTAATTCGGTCACTAGGGGTGAAGTATAGCCGTGCGGGACACACACAACGTGGGTTTAGTCATAGAGTGTGGGGGGTAATTCGGTCACTAGGGGTGAAGTATAGCCGTGCGGGACACACACAACGTGGGTTTAGTCATAGAGTGTGGGGGGTAATTCGGTCACTAGGGGTGAAGTATAGCCGTGCGGGACACACACAACGTGGGTTTAGTCGTAGAGTAGGGGGGGGTAATTCGGTCACTAGGGGTGAAGTATAGCCGTGCGGGACACTCAACGCCTGTCTGCAGCCATGCTGCTGCTCCTGCTGCGACTTGCAAAGGTACCGCCATGGACACGAGGTCTAGTGGTAGTGTGGAGTATGTGGCTACTACTATACATGAGTCTTAGTGGTAGTGTGGAGTATGTGGCTACTACTATACATGAGTCTTAGTGGTAGTGTGGAGTATGTGGCTACTACTATACATGAGTTGTAGAGGTAGTGTGGAGTATGTGGCTACTACTATACATGAGTTGTAGAGGTAGTGTGGAGTATGTGGCTACTACTATACATGAGTCTTAGTGGTAGTGTGGAGTATGTGGCTACTACTATACATGAGTCTTAGAGGTAGTGTATAGTAAGTGGCTACTACTATACATGAGTCTTAGAGGTAGTGTGGAGTATGTGGCTACTACTATACATGAGTCTTAGTGGTAGTGTGGAGTATGTGGCTACTACTATACGTAAGTCTTAGAGGTAGTGTGGAGTATGTGGCTACTACTATACATGAGTCTTAGAGGTAGTGTGGAGTATGTGGCTACTACTATACATGAGTTGTAGAGGTAGTGTAGAGTATGTGGCTACTACTATACATGAGTTGTAGAGGTAGTGTGGAGTATGTGGCTACTACTATACATGAGTTGTAGTGGTAGTGTGGAGTATGTAGCTACTACTATACATGAGTCTTAGTGGTAGTGTGGAGTATGTGGCTACTACTATACATGAGTCTTAGTGGTAGTGTGGAGTATGTGGCTACTACTATACATGAGTCTTAGAGGTAGTGTGGAGTATGTGGCTACTACTATACATGAGTTGTAGTGGTAGTGTGGAGTATGTGGCTACTACTATACATGAGTTGTAGAGGTAGTGTATAGTATGTGGCTACTACTATACATGAGTCTTAGAGGTAGTGTGGAGTATGTGGCTACTACTATACATGAGTGGTAGAGGTAGTGTAGAGTATGTGGCTACTACTATACATGAGTCTTAGAGGTAGTGTAGAGTATGTGGCTACTACTATACATGAGTCTTAGAGGTAGTATAGAGTATGTGGCTACTACTATACATGAGTCTTAGAGGTAGTGTAGAGTATGTGGCTACTACTATACATGAGTCTTAGAGGTAGTGTATAGTATCTGGCTACTACTATACATGAGTTATAGAGGTAGTGTGGAGTATGTGGCTACTACTATACATGAGTTGTAGAGATAGTGTAGAGTATGTGGCTACTACTATACATGAGTTGTAGAGGTAGTGTAGAGTATGTGGCTACTACTATACATGAGTCTTAGAGGTAGTATAGAGTATGTGGCTACTACTATACATGAGTCTTAGAGGTAGTGTATAGTATGTGGCTACTACTATACATGAGTCTTAGACGTAGTGTATAGTATGTGGCTACTACTATACATGAGTTGTAGAGGTAGTGTATAGTATGTGGCTACTACTATACATGAGTCTTAGTGGTAGTGTGGAGTAAGTGGCTACTACTATACATGAGTCTTAGAGGTAGTGTGGAGTAAGTGGCTACTACTATACATGAATTGTAGAGGTAGTGTAGAGTATGTGACTACTACTATACATGAGTTGTAGAGGTAGTGTAGAATATGTGGCTACTACTTTATACATTTACAAACGATAATGACAAGGAGACCACTTTCTATGCGCTATTATCGTTAGCGATATCCAAGTGGTCGCTTCTGAAAACATTTAAAGGTAGTAGCTCAATTTAGGGATGGCCTTAAGGCAAGCCCTTAACACACCTGGTAAAGTAAACAAAAATATAAAGTTTCGATTTAAAGCTTTCGTGACTGCAGGGATTCATATTATTTTCAAATTTTCTTTGTTGTGGTTTTTCACACCTGATGATGATTGCTTGCGTTGCAATCGAAAAGTCGTGAGAATGTTATTGTTTTCTTTTTATTATTTTCCTTCTACGTGACTTTACCGAAAGAGCCAAGAATATAAAAATTCTAAGTTTACGGTTTGTTTATATATCATCACCAACAGCAGCAGCAGCTGCTGCTAGCCATGCTCGATCCACTGCTGGATGGTGAAGATGCCAACACGGCCGGGTGTGATGATGTGTGATGATGTTGTGTGATGTTGTGTGTTCAACTCGGGTGTCAAACACCCAGCCGCCCGTGGTCTATCCACTGAGTGCATCACAGCTGTCAAACCATCACGGTTTACCCCGTATTTTTGTACAGGGAAACATTGGAGTTTTCAAATCCACGCGGCGTACAGCCGTTTCAATGCGGGCAAAATAATATTTTTTGTTTGATTTCTTTGTGTTTCTCTGCTTGTGATGGGACTTTGTAGGATGAACGTTGAGATTTATAAGGGGCACGGGGTGACCAATGAGGTCCTGAACTGGTCTGTGATAAGGTAGGGCACTGATAAGGGGTTGGCAGATGTGTGCGAGTGTTGTCCATCCACATATCAAGCAAGCAGCAGCATCAGCAAGCAAAATCGCAAGACAGTAGCGTGATTAGTAGCATCATTGACACTATCAAAATTAATACGTAAAAAAAGTTTTTGTTTAGTAACATAGTTTTTTTGTCGTATTTTTGTGTTTCTCCCTTGCGATAGGACTTTGTAGGATGAACGTTGAGATTTACAAGGGGCACGGGGTGACCAATAAGGTCTGAATTGGTCTGTACTAAGGTAGGGCACTGATAAGGGGTTGGCAGGTGTGTAGTTGTGAGTGTAGTAGTGGTGAGTGTTCGTAGTGGTGAGTGTCTATTTGTGTTTCTGCCTTGTGATGGGACTTTGTAGGATGAACGTTAAGATTATAAGGGGCACGGGCTGACCAATAAGGTCTGAATTGGTCTGTACTAAGGTAGGGCACTGATAAGGGGTTGGCAGGTGTGTAGTTGTGAGTGTAGTAGTGGTGAGTGTCGTAGTGGTGAGTGTCTATTTGTGTTTCTGCCTTGTGATGGGACTTTGTAGGATGAACGTTGAGATTTAGAAGGGGCACGGGGTGACAAATAAGGTCTGAATTGGTCTGTACTAAGGTAGGGCACTGATAAGGGGTTGGCAGGTGTGTAGTTGTGAGTGTAGTAGTGGTGAGTGTCGTAGTGGTGAGTGTTTATGTGTGTTTCTGCCTTGTGATGGGACTTTGTAGGATGAACGTTGAGATTTATAAGGGGCACGGGGTGACCAATAAGGTCTGAATTGGTCTGTACTAAGGTAGGGCACTGATAAGGGGTTGGCAGGTGTGTAGTTGTGAGTGTAGTAGTGGTGAGTGTTCGTAGTGGTGAGTGTCTATTTGTGTTTCTGCCTAGTGATGGGACTTTGTAGGATTAACGTTGAGATTTATAAGGGGTCACAGGGTGACCAATAAGGTCTGAATTGGTCTGTACTAAGGTAGGGCACTGATAAGGGGTTGACAGGTGTGTAGTTGTGAGTGTAGTAGTGGTGTGTGTCGTAGTGGTGAGTGTCTGTTTGTGTTTCTCTCCTTGTGATGGGACTTTGTAGGCTGAACGTTGAGATTTAGAAGGGGCACGGGGTGACCAATAAGGTCTGAATTGGTCTGTACTAAGGTAGGGCACTGATAAGGGGTTGGCAGGTGTGTAGTTGTGAGTGTAGTAGTGGTGAGTGTTCGTAGTGGTGAGTGTGTATTTGTGTTTCTGCCTTTTGATGGGACTTTGTAGGATGAACGTTGAGATTTACAAGGGACACGGGGTGACCAATACGGTCTGAATTGGTCTGTACTAAGGTAGGGCACTGATAAGGGGTTGGCAGGTGTGTAGTTGTGAGTGTAGTAGTGGTGAGTGTTCGTAGTGGTGAGTGTCTATTTGTGTTTCTGACTTGTGATGGGACTTTGTAGGATGAACGTTGAGATTTATAAGTGGCACGGGGTGACCAATGAGGTCTGAATTGGTCTGTACTAAGGTAGGGCACTGATAAGGGGTTGGCAGGTGTGTTGTATAGTTTCTTGTCGAACTGGGACCCCTAATAACATCTGGCAATTCCAGCAACATTGCATCTCAAGCTACAAGACACGCCAACCACAACGCTACACAAGCGAGGCGCGACTGCCGACAAAACCCTGAACGTCGAAAACCGCTCTAGAGAGTTTTGCTTGTACTGAAGCAATTGCTGCCCAACATTAGTGCACTTCCAGAAGGCCCCTTGAGGCTCATGGGCCGTGTAAAGGAAAAAACATGTTTACACACCGCACCAGGTACTCATTTGAGACCAGATCGACCTAGGGGAGGCCCAGGACCGGTAGACACACACACACATACACGGACAAAGATGAATGCTGAATGAATGCTGCTGCAAGTTTGTACTTCCAGAAGGCCTGATTGGGTTGTGTAAGAAATAATATCACGCATTTTTGTTGTGTATGTTGGGAGACAGATACATGTGAACCAGACGACATTTGTCTGTTTGGCTGGAAAGCATTTCATCAGCGTCCAAACATTTCTGTCCGTGCAGATGTTACGTCTGTTCAACACGTAGGCTTTCGCGACCAATATTATCCATATATGAATAAGGGTTATGGTTTAAGGGTGTATTATATGGATAATATTGGTTAACATTAACCTTGTATAATATCAATACGGATAATATAGATGTTGCGTCTAATTCTAGAGCAGATGTTCATTCAATCACAGGCCCTTTCTGTAAGCACTGCTCAATTATACGTCTTCACATGTAATTAAGTTAATACATTTAACACGTAGGCTTTCGCAACCACATCAGCACCTTTATATAAGGAACGAAACAGGTGGACTTCTCCACAAATCTGGCTGTCGCCTGATGAAGCTGGTTGTGATTACTGCCAAAACGTCGTACTCAGATTGCAAATGTTGTGGCTTGGCTCTCCAACACACCGGTGTGCTGTACTAGTACACTATACACTACACTATACACTACACTACTGTACACTACACTATAACTACACTATACACTACACTACTATACACTACACTACTATACACTACACTATATACTACACTATACACGACACTATACAATACACTATTACAGTATACACTAGTGCTGTGCTAGTATACACTACACTACTATACACTACACTACTATACACTACA